AACCACACAGCACCTTTTAAATAAAAAGCATTTGCAATGATGAATTTGAAGCAGATGCTAAAACAATTTGGCTTAAGAGCCTGCAGTTCATACTCCTGAGACCAAGTGATGAATCTCATTTAAAGACAGGTTATCTTGTGCAGAAAACTAGATTTACAGATGTAATTAGCAACTGTTTTGCCACCATTAATCTCATGTAGGAAGGGAGGTGTCCATATGGGCTCTGTCTGCCATTTTTAGCCCTTAAGGTAAAGACCAGTATGGGATATTTTGGGATATTTTCCCTATCATGGCACGTGGCAAAGGTGATATAGATCACCTTCAGGCAAAACCATTCCCAAGGTTCCTGCAGAACACCCAAGCCTGTCCCCATTTAATTAAAGGAGGTGAAAGGGAAGTGCCCCCTTACCTCTCTCCATATTTACCCAAACCAACCCACCAGAGGATGCAGCCTCCAAAAGAAATGGCAACCAACAAGAGCAACCAACAACTGAAATTAAAATAAAAATTTAAATAAATTAACAATTTATTAAATTAAATATTAAAAAGAAACTACGTATTAAATAAATGCAACTGGAAATTTTTTAAAAAAACCTTTCAAAATTTTACTAAAAATAAATAGATAAATAAAAAAGGGAGCACACACTTTACATGAAACATTTAGTTGGTTCTAAACAATACTTTCTCAAATCAAATAACCTCCAGTTACAAAAAAAAAAAAAATAGTTCTGTTGCAAAGATGACTGGATACTGCCAAAACATTTTATCTCATTTTCTTCTGAGAAAACACTTTTCAGAAAGTGAGGTCATTTTTTCTAGTTTCCTATCTCAAAAAAGTGCTGTGTGCTGAGCGAGTGCTGCTCTGTTGAAGTATCTTTGACAGGATGCATCATGGCAGTCCTCTTCAGCTGTGAGTGACTGCAGCAGTTGTACCAGGACAAATGCACACATTTGTATACAAAGTGCACTCACAAGTGGAGCAAGGAACAAAGCAGTTGCTGGGTCTTTGAAGATCCATCTTGCCCAGAAGCGTAAAGCCCGGTTGTGTGCGGCAGTGTAGCAATTCCTTAAGACCAGAAATGGATACAGCCCAAACCACAAGAACCACCTTTTATGTGTTAAGTGTTGCTAATTGAAACAATTTGCCACGCTTCGTTTATGTCGAAGAAACTTCTGGCACGTTGTTTCAAAGTCCTTGTAAGAGGAGTGTTCCTTCCTCCAGGCTGGATCAGTTCTCCCTGCCACAATTCCTCAGTTTTAATGAAGATCACTAAGCTGGATGTAGAAAGATGCTTATACTCAAGAAATATATCCTCCACTTTGTTTTTGTTTTTAGCTTCAAAGTTTTTGGGGAGGCAGATTTGCTCCCACCTTTGTGTACATCAGAGTCTGCAGTTAGATGCTGGCTGGTGAAGGTGTGCACGTGGATGAGTGATATCCAGTGTTTTGCTTTCTCCTTCCTCCCCCCAAAACATTCACAGACTTAAATATCTGCTCTGTCACACTCACAGGTACCCCAGCATAGTTTCTTCGGAGTAACATGATTTTGTCCCCCTCTAGGGTCAAGGAGTTGAAGTCTGTTTGTCTGGTGTTTACAATAAAAATTACTTTCTCATTTCCTACAGGTGCTCTACAAATTTTTCTGTAATGCAACAAAAGAGTAACTTAGCTTTTGGGTCTATCTGGAAATGTAACTACACTATTCAGAAACAAGCTTAAAAATAAAGCAATTACTGAGTATTTTCATAGCTCATGATTGTCCAAACCTTACAAATTCAAGCCCAAGAAGCAAGAGGTATCTTTTCAGCTTTGCTGGTTTGGGCAACAAAACCCTGAGCTTCTCTTTGCTCTTTGGGCCAGGAGTTCTGCAACTGCTATCCTCCTATGGACACCCACCTTTCAATTAACAGCTAATCAGACTTAGAAATTCTCATTTTTAGATGAAGACCACTGCCAGGGAATTACTCCAGGATTTTTTTTACTCACATCTACATCTGTTTTAAGTGGCAGTTTTGGAGAAGGCCTAGGGACTGGATGATCCTTGCCAGGTTTCCCAAGCTTTCCAAGAGGAGATCTCATTAATTAAGTTTAGGATCCATCCCCAGAAATTACTGGGATCCTCAGTAGTAAGGATTTCAAACATCATTTTCTATGTGCGTTAAACTTGCCCCAAAATAAATAAATTCATAAATAATAAAAATCCCCAAAAGAACAATCAGTATGTACTGATTCCATGAGCTTATATTTAGAACAAAATGGGCTTCACACATTTCCATAAGGATCACTACTGGGCTGAAGGACTGTTTATAAAATGTGCTATTATCCCTGAAAAGAAATTAATTTTGAATTCAATTTTATGTGTCAGTTGGGCATGGATAAATTACAAACATCTCAACCCTACTGAGAAGCCACTGAACTGTTTATTTTTATATGAAATCTACAAGTATTTTACAACCCTTCTCCTCAATGATCTGAACACATGGCTTTGAAAACAGTCATTAACAGCGTATCACTGGCTACACACGAATGAGGACATGCACAGAGAGCAGTTTATTTTCCCAGGGAACCAGGTTCCCTAGAAACCCCCTTCTATTGCCCAGGGTGATGGCATAGCTACCAACAGGCAGACACCAAAATACTTCATCCTGAGTTCACACACACACACACACAAAGGAGATACATTAGTTACTCCAGTTGGCAGTAGCATTATCATTTATTTATTTAATAATAATAAAAAAATTAAGTCACAACTTTCTCTTAATGTAAAACAAACTGAAATCTGTGCCTGAGCTCTTCCTTTACACACACCAAATAAGCATAGTGAAGGTCAACCTTAGACTGGGGACATCTATAAACTAAGGTTTATACTGTTGCATGAAAAGCTGAATTGGAGCACATAAAAGTATCAGTCAACAAGAATCATATTCTCAAGGATCAAGAGGCTGTGAACAAATGCCCAACCTCCTTTATGTTTTCTTCCTGTTGGTGACAAGAGACACGAACTAAAAATTTCATCTAAGGAACTGAAGAAGTTGAGCTAGAGGGATAAGAAAGCCTTGAATTTCTTTTACAGACTATTCAATAAAACAGAAGTGAGGAACATTGATCAGACAAATGCACAACTGGACTACTCTGATAAAATAGGTTTTGGCAATTCAGTTACCTGAGAAAAACTGATACCAGTATTGCAGAAATCTTTTTAAGTTCTCAAATGACATCAAAATCATCCAGTACACTTTGATTCCAGTGAGTAGCCAGAGATCTAGGGATACACATTTCTGTATTGAAAGTGATAAAAATGAGCAGGGAGGTACCTGGAACAATTAAAGGCACTTTTAGCTGGCATGTGTTTTGATAAATGCTACAGAAAACTGTGCCAGGTATGACATTATACTGATTTGTGTAGAGGTCCAAGCAGTATTAACACACTGTTAAATTCACACACTTGACCAAATAGTCAATGAGCAGTGCCAGCATAGTTAACACAGGAAGAAATCCACAGTTTTACTTAATGTAAACAGTAAGGTTTCTAATAAAGGCATTTTAGTTTTAAATATTATTATATGTTTAGCATCATTGCATGCAACACTTGTCAAAAAGGTTCATGTCACCTCTGTGTATCACTAGGCCAGAAACAGTCATGGTAAGGTTTTTGGAGGGAAATTCTCCAGTTGTTGAGTCTAGTGCTGCACACAAAATTACAAACATCCTCAGTAAACTGCACACCTGGACAAGGCAGATGTTCATAAATAAAAGGCAACTTCATTGCCACAAGGAATTTGGCCCTTGTGTTGTCAAAGGCACAGAAACTGAGGGGCATGCTAACTACAGCACTTAAATGAGACCTGATTTCAAGAGATACCTTTCAGGGGCAGCTAGACAACTGAAGTGTAAGTTCTGACAGAAGTCAAAAACTGTCCCCACCAGCATAACAACATGGTCGCTAAATTCAGAGTGATACACCAAAAAAAAAAAAAAAAAAAAACCCAAAACATCTAGGCTTTTCTTATGGATTCATTTTTTGCATTTCAGAGATACCAGGTGCTGTAAACAATTTTTTTTTACCCTGTATTGTAAACCTTAGTAACAGGTGAAGTGAAAAGCACTGGTAAACAGATGAATGACCACATCATTATTTCTTTATTGAATCCTTACTCTCACTTGAACCGAAAGTGCAAGGTATTAGTAAAATGCGAATGTCACAGGCACCTGAACAGAACCACAAATTGGTTTAGACTTTTGAAATTGTTTTTGTCAAAGAGCAAATAAAATAGTCTTTGGTGTAAGTTCACATGGTGGAATCCAAGTATAACAACATCAGCTGAAACTTAGAGAAAATCCATAACTTATCTTCTGAAGGAGAAGAGTCCAAGCTCAAATGATCACACTGATTTACAGGCACAGAGCTTTTCCTAGCAGCACACATGGTCTTTCACTACACTCACATAGCCGCTGGCCTGCTAAATCTGATGGATTTTCAAGCTACAAGTGATGGAAAGGACGGTCAGATTTTAAATTTTTTGGATTTGGTCAGATATTAGCAGATCGCCTGGATGTGTGCAACCTGGAGCTGCCTTGAGACAGGGATGCAGTCTGCATCTGCTAGGAGTCACCAACCAACACTCAGATAAATAATGGCTTGTGACAGGAGGAAATACTGGACAGAACACTCTCCCCACTACCAGTGGCCAATTTTAAGCTGGTGGTTAGGAATTAACTTTCCTGATGCCCATGTAAAAAGCAGAAGCACACCTTTGGCACCTGTTTCACAACCAGTCCTGGAGAGTCCTGACTGGAATTGAGTTTGCTAGGTGCTCACTTTAAAACTGAAAGCTATCAACAGCTGAAGTTAAAAAAAAAAGGACAAAAAACAACTGAAAACACACAAATGAAACAAAACAAGATAAAAACATATTAAAAATAACACTCCTCTTCAGTATGTTTTTGTCTTAGGCCACTGTCCTTACACCTGTGTTTCCACAGAAAACTGTGGCATAAAATTACCCCACTACACCATCTTGTTCCTTATTTTCCAGCAAAGGTATGCCTGTATCTCCCTTATCCTTTTTATTTGCATCTCCATTGTCCTCTGACTGCCCTGATTTCTGATGAGCAAACGTGTAAGTGTCTTGGTCTATGTCCATCAGGGGCAGAGGCTCCTCCTCGGGGTTAGAAGAGCGTTTAATGTCTTTTTTGAAGGAGAATGGAGGTGGAGAAGGTGGCGTGCTACCAATGGGTCCATCAAAAGGCCGGTAGACATCGACTTCTGGAGAGACGGAGCCATTGGACTCCTTCAGCAAGTGTCCATAGACCACAGCATCATCAATAACTGCATAGACATGAGACTCATTGTTTTGCCTCCCTTTTCTGAATGAGCCTTTCCTTCCAGGCATCTGGGTATTCACGTTATCATTGTACACTCCCACCATGGGATTCTGGGTTTTCTTCTTCCTGTTACAGAGGTGAAATTGTTAACAGGTCAAAAACAACACGTCTGGCGTGCTGGAACTCAGTAACAACAGCTTCTGTCCACTCATCCCAAGCACACAGTGTCAGGCAGCCTACCTGGATTAAAGGTTTTACTTGCAATTTTGGGAGAAATAACTCTTGAGCCTAGATGTTCTTTTTTAACAGAGCAGAATACAACTTCATGCTATTTGGTTACCCACTGCTGCTCTGCTGACCCTCAAGTTTGCAAGATTAACTCCAATGTTCTCCCAAGCACTGGGATTCTGGCTGTGCAGAAGTCCCACAATTTCCACAGGCATTTGTAAGACCCAGAGACCATTAGGTCCTCACAAAAACAAGGCTATGTTACTGAAGACAAGGTAGTGGGTCAAAATGAAAATCAAATTAATTTTTCTTAATTATGCTTTCCTGAATGACTGCCCCTAAATTGGAAAGAACGAAGGCTGAATTGAAAACTTTTAAGCCTGTGTTTGTGAAGTCTTTCCTGTGTGGCAGGAAAATGTGCCCCTAACTGCACTAGTCACCATATTGCATAAATTCATTCCAGCTCTACATCTTCAGGACCAACCACCTTGACAACACTGAGCATACATGTATGAGAAAACCCAGGCTATCAATGACTCCAGACTCGGCTCGTATGAGTAATGCCATGCATGTAAGCTTTGCACAACCCACTTCTCTCCCCTAGGGCTCATCTCACAGAAAATTGTTCCTACTTGATGTGCAAACTCCAGAAGTTGCTGGAGGCTGTATGCATGAAAGAAAACTCTTAGTGTATCTGGATGAGTTCACATCTTGTTTGAACAAAGACTTGAGTGGAGTCATGCATGCAACAGCCACATTCATTGGGATTTCACATTGCAGGGACTGCTGAGGAAGTCCAACAAACACCTGACTCACAGTACACCCAAAAGCCTGCACTTAAGGCCAAGGTAAGCAGTGCTCTGCAGGTTGAAGTAATGTGACTCCAGAAACACTGCTCTGCCTTTGAAGTTTGTCAATTTAGAGTAAAGAAGCATTCCTGAGGTCAACACTACTTCCATGTCCTCCTCATGCTTTAGACCTTGGTTCAAAGGATATCTACACATGAAACAGAGGGCCCAGCAGTTCTCCCAAAATGCTCTCTTGAACTGCTAAGTTACACATGCTGAATTATTAACTTACTTCTTCTTAACACAGCACACGGTCAGTCCAATCACTGTGAGAACTCCAGCACCAGCCACCACAGCAAGTATGATTCCAAGGTCTGCAAACAGACAAGGAACAAGGACACTGAGCAAAAGAAGGAACACCCAGCCTTCTCCTAAAATCTGTCTGGGTTTGAATCCCTTTAAGAGCTTCTAAGCATAGCAGCTGCTGGCAGAGCAGGAGTTCCTAAGCCATGCCTGCCACAGGGCAACACAAGCCATTTCCAAGAGACTGGAGGCCAAGCAACAACAAGCTCCTGCTGTTGGCAATGATGGACAACCAAAAAACCCAACCAACCCACCCACTTCCAAGAGTTTTTGATAGAGCTCATGCACTGCTAAACTTACCTAAAGCACCTCACATGTCTCTGGCTGAATAGGCAAGGAAGAGATGAAAGCACAGAAAGAAACAGAGAAGGACTCAAAAGAAGAAATAGTGGCATTTCCATAGATTCCCCTCAAAACCATCCTTTCCTCTGAAATACACAGGTTGTGTTGACCTGGGGTTTTCTAGGAGTCATAAAATTGATTAGGGAAGTCCATGCATGAGCAAAGAAAAATGCTGCTAGTTTCAAAAGAAGCACAGATTGAAAAAAAAAAAAAAAAGATCAAAAAATTAGAAATTGCAAATGTGAAGCAAATTTACATAAGCAAAGCCTACCCTAAAAATGCCCCCTCATCTTTTCTTTAAAAACTGTTTATGTTCCAGGGAGATGAAAGAGAACAAGAAAACAGAATTTGCTGGTAGCAGTCAGGGCCCAATCTCCATTAAATGATCAGACCTGTCCTAGGGAGGATTTCTTGCTCATGTGAACACTGAGACTAATTGAGCTGCTAACAAGAAGTGAGGACTACTTGGATGAATAAGTTTGCATAATCAAATCCCAAGCTGTTCACTAGGTCTGTGACCCTGGAAGGGAAAAACATCACTTGATCTTATTATATATTCTGTCTATTATCTCCAATTAAAAAAGCTAAATTAATTTTTTAAAATGAAATCTAGTCTTACTACCTTGATCCTTGCCATTTCTTGCGTCAACGAAAGAAAATCCAGAAACACACCTTCCACCCCCCAAAAAACCATACCACATTAAAACCCCTCCTTCTTCACCACCTCCTAGAAATATCCAGATGAAACTCTGGGAAGTTTTTGAGGGACAGACTTTTCCAAAGGCAGGAATCTACATCCAAGGAGGACCATCATCCATTACTGTTACCTCAAGGGAAAGCAAGGAAACAAGCAGAAAACAAACCACCACAACCTCACAGCACTCACCTAGCTGCTTGTCAGCCAAAGTCACCCAGAACTGCAAGGTCAGCTGTGTCTTATCCGCAGGCCTACAGTTGGAGACGTTCACCCAGAAGCTGTGGAGCATGTTCCGGGGCTGGGGCAGGAGCTCGTCCTCGCGGCGCACGATCTCCTCTGCTCCCGGCGCCTCCTCCTTGATGTTGACGTAGGCACGGCCCGTCTCACAGGCGATGCCCATGCGGTCCTTGGAGAACCTGAGGCGGGCAGTCTGCTTGCTGGGCACAGTGATGAACCAGGATATGGAAACGTAAGGAGGCAAACCATAAGGCGAGTTGGGAGTCTGCAAGTAAACTTTAGCTTGTGGATTTGGGCTCACGGTGAATATGCACTCATCTGTAGCAAAAGGGAAAGAATAAAAGAAAACTTAATTTTGATAATTATTGTCCTTTCCCAAATCAATGTTATCACAATAAACAAAGACATACCTGCAGAATTTGCCACAATCAACTATCCACTACCTGGAATACAATTCTCCTTTTCTCTTCCCAAAATAAACCACATCACTGGTTCAGATAAAGACTGATTCTAGAGTCTAGTCATAGAGTCATTGCTAAAGGATTGAACTCCTAATTTCTGTTCACCCATATGTACTTTAATAAGCCTATTGAGAGATCTATCACTGTAGAACAAAGTAGTACAAAATCTACTACCTTACCTTTAATATGTGGCACAAAAGACATTTTCAAATCCTGAGGAATAGACTCATTGATGAATCCTTTACCAAATGGTTTTAAGGATATGGTGATATTATTCCTCATCTGAATCTTTTCAATAGATCCACCGGGACAGAATACACCAAGATTCAGCTCTGTCTCTGGGGTGGCACTAACAATGCTGTAACTGTAGCTCGTGTTGCACCTCTGCTCTGGGATGGGTTGCTGAAGTTTCAAGGATGGAGACGTAATTTCTACGTTGATCATATCAGTGGCCAAGAGCTTCCAATTAAACTTATGCAGTCGAATTGGCAATCGGGTAATAGCCTTGGGCACTGAAAGGGAATAAATCTTCTTCTGACACCAACGAATATCCATACAGCCTGCAAAAACAAAAACAAAACCCAAAGAGCTGAGTATTTCATGCAGAGGAAATAGCTGGGCACACACAGTACTGCCAGGCCTGCATTACAGGCCAAGATAAGGATTTACCTAAGAAAATATCCTCTCTTAGTAACCTTTATCCAAACACGTGTTGTTTGTGTTTAAGTTTTTTCCTTAATAGGTGCAGGACACCAAAGAAACAGACAGAAACATATTCAAAGGCCCTCACTCAAGATATACTTGCTGACTGGGGCACTGCTGCAGACCAGTCAAGGTACGGATACTTCAAATCTCTTTTCTACCTGTAGTTGAAAGCATCTGGGGAAATCCTACATGAAGGGGACATGCATGCAGAACAAGATGCCTTCCTGATGGCAACCTTGGTCCTGCATTTTCATGGGCAGATTTATGGGTCTCTGGCTCCGTTTCCATAATTTGCAGTGACTTAGGTGACTTCTATCTCTTCTCTTCTAGGAATAACTACGCAGTTTCTATTCTTAAAGGTAGAACGATGTACTGAACAAGGTCACCTCCAGATTCATTGCACCCATCTCCCAGCTGGCCAACACCTGGTTTCCAACCTCAATTTAAAGCCAAAGCAACGGAACAAGTTTGATTGACCCCTGGGGAAAAACATGCAAAAGCATTCCCTAAGAAACAGGATTAAACCACTTTTGTAGTACCTATGCCTTTTTCAGCTGTGATCCTCAGCTGGGACAAGTCCTTGCACAGGAAGGAGATCCTGTAGACAGCACCAGAGGTTAAAGTCAAGGCACGGTCGCAGGTGCGAGGATCCTTGCAGATCAGGCATATGGGCTCAGACATGAGGGGCGTGCGGCTGGGCCACCCTTCCAAGTGTATTGTCACAGTCATGTTCTTCTCCTTGCTCAGGTCAACCAAATGGGTGACATCTGCAACAAAAAAACACCCCAGAGCAATTACAGCCAAGAAGCATAGTGTGAAGCAGAACTTCCCTCACCTCTTCTTGGAACATCTGGAAGGAGAAAACAGAAGGAAAGAGGAAAAGAAAATGCAAGTGTAGCTCATAAAGGTTGACTGTCATGTGGATAGATAGATTTTGGATCCACGCAACATCCTGGTGCTGTTACTAAGTCACCTCTCTGACGTTAAAAAAAGCAAGCTGGCCTAGTGGAAGTGTCCCTGCCCACGGCGGGGCAGTTTGGAACTGGATCATCTTTAAGGTTCTTTCCAACCCAAACCGTTCAATGATTCTTCAAAGGACAGGGGGGGAAATAGAGTACCTATATACACACATATTCTATTACTACTCTTCATTTTCTGGTTTTAGCTTTAGCTACAGATCTCAGTCTTACACAAAAGGTGAATAAAATAGCTTTCTCCTGTGTGGGAAATCAGGCAGACAAAAAGGCAAGTGGTCAAATGGACTTATCCAAGTCATTGGCACAACCAAGCATGTAACCTAGGACTCCCACCGCAAGGTTGTCATTTTTCACAATGTATTTTCCTGCAGCAGCTAAACACAGGAAGAGTTAGATCAAGAAGTTATTATGACTGAAAAGAGCCATATTTTCTTCTTATTTAATGACAAGCACCACAGACAGCTGTGGAAGCTTTGAGAATATGCAGATAGCAATGCATTTTTAATAAGAGCAATGTTGCAGATGGCAACCTGAGGGCTGAATTTGAATCTTTGATGGAACTTATATAACTACAAAATCAATCATGAAATCCTATAAAATCCCTAGAGAAACCACTGTTGTCTCTTAAATCCAAATGGTTTATTACTTGCATTTCATTCACGGAATGACAACCTGGTTTTGATTTTTTACATGATTATCGTCTTGTCTCCTGGCCATAAATATATTAAAATTATTTTTGCTTTCAAAAGAAGAAGGGAGATAAAGCTGATTAACTGAATATAATGTTTTCATTCTGTCTAGCTTCCGAGATGCAACACACAATAAATGTAAGCAAACACAATTTTGTTAACAGCAATTCTGTGAGGATTTGCTGTTCATAAACAGAGCCAGGCTACACAGACAAAGAAAGAACTGTAACCGTGAGATGCTACAGATCCTTTCTGGATATGTGACTTCAGCTCACAAGTCATTCAAACCTTATTCTCTCTAAAATTACCTGGAAACCGCTAAGTAGCTCCTGACACAGTGGCAGTCAAGTGTGTACTTTCCTCCACCTGCTCTTTTGCAGTAAGTGCACCTTGATTATTAACCTTCACCTTGAACTGAGGTCAGAGTTGCAAAGTCAGAGGCTAAATCACTAACTCCTTGGCTCATTACCTAGACAGGCCTTTTATTTCTGTTTTTAGAGAAATGCTCTGGTATTATAAGTCATTGTGCTAAACCAATCTGAATTTGGGGCTAGAAAAAAGAAAAAAATTATTTTCTCAGTATAGAGAAAGAAATGTAAAGAACATCCAAGAATGGAGGGGATATTATTAGTACAACTTTTGTATTTAATGTGACTTCTTCACACTTGTTGATGTTCAACTTCCTCTAGGAAGCAAAATTAAAACTCAAAGGAAGAAAAGAAGGGAAGATGCATATCGATGCCATTACCAATACAGAGACAATTTTACATCTCTCAATTCACCAGTTAATAATACCACAGATCTTGCTATCTACCATGACAGCGGGTTTCACCTTGTTAGGAGCAACTGCTCACGCAAGGAACAAAAAACTGGGGTCACGCTTTAAAGAATGACCTTTAAAATGTTGAATCTCATGTCTGAAAGCAGAACTGTTAAAGGCATTTTTCAATTACATGATTCAGGTGCTGGAAATAGAAAGGAGTCTCCATTTATAAGTTACGGTGTAAAAAATACAGCAGCACTAAATAGTCCATTGCAAATTGCACATTTCAGCATCGCTGCTCGCCTTGCTGTACGTGTGGTCAGTGGTACCACGGGCAATAAAACAGGCCTCAGCATTGCTTGGCAATCTCCTTAAACTCATAGAGGGACCAAAGTACAAGGAAAATAACAAAAAAGAGTATTTATCTCCCTTGTGGTGCTCATGCCAGACATCTGAAAGCAACAAAAGAGGGAGGCAGGTACTTACTCTCATCAACCTGTGGGTGCTGAACAACAACTTGGAAGAGCAGGCGAAGAATGCCGGGGTTCTGGGCATCCTGATCACAGCCCTGCAGGGACATGTTGAAAGTGCCAGCAATATTGGCAGGCTGGCTGTCGCTCAGCTTGAACACCTCCGGGTTGCTGGGGGAGCCGGGGATGTAGTACTCCACCCTCTCCTCCTTCCTTTCGCAGTTGGAGAGGCTGTAGTTGTGGAAGAACACGCTTGCTCTCAGGCTGGGAGGAATCACAAACTGCCACGTCATCAGCTCATCTTCTGGAAAGCCCAGCGGGTAGTTAGGGGACATCAGGGTGATTGAAGACTCCCTCTTCAAAATGGATTCAATGATGCACAACCCTAAAACAGGGAGGGAATCACAACACATAAAATAAGTTCCAGTTACTGAAGACACACTGGCATATCTAGCACCCAAGAAGCAGAGTCTTTCTTTTGACAGAGAGATCACCCACTCCAGCTACAAGCTAGGTTATTACAAAACGCTTAGACTAAAACATATATTTGAGTTGATTCTTATGTCTTCAATTACAGAAAAGGTAAGGAATGTATTAATACTGCATTTGCAGTTTAGCAGGTTAACCTTTCAAGCACATGGACAGACAAGCCTTTATTATTGGCAAGGACAAGATCCTAATTCCTACTTCTACATTTGGATTTGCAAGAGCAAACACACAGCCTGATAAGTGCTTCTGCTTCACTGGGTTTTGGGAAACAAAAGCTGCAAGCTTTTATAGCAGCATGTAGCTCTCTTTACAAAAACCTCCTAAATTTAACAAAAGCACACCAGCAAAGAGCCTCAGATAGGCATATTAAAACACAAATGTGAAACATGCAGGCTGCATAAGACACTTTATCCTTGGATGACTCTTGGCAGCGTGAAGTTGGGTACATAGAGATTATGGTCCCACTCTAGGACTCCAGTGATGATGTGCAAGTGTAAGGAGTGCCAGGAATTATACAAAACAGTCATGTTCTAGAAGCTTGAACCTGGACCAGGTTTCTTTTATAACTGATAGCAAAAGCACTAGAATTCAAGTACAGAGAAAGTTTTGTCATGAGATCACAAAGTAACCCACTGATTGCTGTATAATATTCCAGGTATTTTAGGAAGATTATTACACAACGGTTTATGTTACCGTGCAGGTTGAAACAGATTAATGTATTTATGCAGCCTCCTGTGCCTTCCAGGCACTGCTTCACCTTTTCCCACACTCCTCTCCTGAAGAGAGGTATTGGTTTGAGGCTCCAGAAGTTAAAGAAACTTTTAAAAATAAATAAATAAACAAGCCAAACTACACAGCTCAACCAACAAAAAACTCTCTGGCTCATTCTAATTATACTACCTTGTCTCACCTAGCTGAATTCACAAAAACAAGAAAGCAAGTATGTTTAAGTTTTAGGAAGTTTAAAGAGATTTAAAATTATTAATGTACATCAAATACTTTGACTCCAGAAGAACACCATCTAACTAAACTAAAAATCATACAGCAATAGTTTCCAGAACAGATGAAGTGAAAGGGAGTTAGGGATAGCAGCACCAAAAATGGAAGGTTAGCTGTGAAGAAAGGTTGAAATAGATTCTGCTGCAATCTGCAGGAGGCAGCTGTACTACTCACGTTTTATGGAAGCCCTGCTGGCTATGTTGAAGCCTGAGGTGGTGAGAGGCAAGTGCCACGGGAGGTGCAGGGACATGACAACTCCTCCCAGCAACTTGACACGGGACACGGAGCCATTCCTGCAGAAAGTGCCGATGTTGACCGTGGCATTATCAATAGAGCTGTTGATGTTGTAGCTAACGGCGTCTGGGCACGTCTCTCCTGGTTCAATCTGCCTTAGCCAGGAGGTAGAAAATTTTAGTTCAAGTCCAGCTTTTGTACTTGCCTTCACGTCCCAGATGTAAGTCCTGTTAAGGCGAGGTAGCCCCGGTGGGTAAAGATGAACATCTCCAAAGGGACATGGGCCTGACACACAGTCTAAATGCAGAGAGAGAAGAGCTGTGATACACTCTGGAAAGCATTCCATTAAAAGGGGAGTTTGATACTTCCCCTTCCTTGCTATTATCACAATTTTCAGGTGGCACTCATGTTTTCTTCTATGTGCACTAAAAGACACTCCTCTAACATGGTCACAGGCTGTCTCCAAACAGGACTCCCAGCCCATAGAACAGACAGGATAAACCTGCTTTAGTCAGGCTGAGTAATAGGAAGGATTCATTGTTCCTAGTATTCCGCCTTGTTTGCTGAAGAATTTAGAAGGTACTTAGTGAATAGGGCAGAGTCTCAATGGGCAAAAGGGACAAATGCAGTGTCAAGAGAGCTAGAAATCACAGATCTGGAGAATCCATTTTGTCCCATGTCCCCCAGAGAGTTCCTGGCAAATAATTAATCTTTAAATGTTTTACTCCTTGCCAGGAACTGTGTTTTTGTTCCCTTGGTGTCCAGATTAACAACAACAATGCCACTGAAGGATTCTGAGGGGAAGCCAGAAAACTTTTATCTGAAAAATCCAAGCAATTGATTGACACTCAAAATAAGTAACTTTAATCCATGTTAAGGCTTTGACTTAAAAGAAGAAATATCACTAGTGTGTCTTGCAAATATATGAGATACAGTGAGCGTTGCTATCTGCATGAATCATATGAATAAAATTCCAAAACACTAAGAGAATTATTCTTGAACATCACCCCAAAAATAATGAAGATGTTACTAAAGACTGAATACCCAATGAAGTTTGGGATCTAGTTGAGAAGTAGCACGTGTTCATGCCATTAAAGAGTACATACACCAAGGATAACATTCAAAGCAGAAGTTTTAGTTACACTTCTGAATTTACAGTTTTTTGACTTCAATAACATTCATTAAAGATAAAGAAACATGTGCAGGTCTTCAATGTTTCTGTTGTCCTTATAGACACAACCAAGTTGTTCATCAAATACATAATATATTATTATAAGTGTTCAGAGGCTTTTGTCAGGAACAAAAAGATTCTTTGATCGGTTTATAAATTGTGGGAAAAGGAAAAGCAGCAAGGAATTAATGCAGCAAACTGCATTCTAGCTGTTTCCAGCACAGCCAAATCAACATTAATTCTGCCAGCTGCAATACAGACTTCTTCAGCTTGCATAGTTGTAGCAGTCATTCAAGGTTATTTATCAGTGCTCAAAGATTTCTTCTTACCTAAGATTATGGCAGATATTTTAATACAGCAGCAGGAAAAAAAGCATTTGGTTTTACCAGAGGAAAATTACTACTGGGGAAAAATCAAAAATCTGTATCTTACCAATATTTTTCTGAATTTCTGTGATGAAATACTTCTCTGGAGTACCACAGGTGAAGGTAAAGGTCACATTGTCCCCAGGCTTTATCTTGAGTTCAGACATGATGACATATTTCATGCGGATTCGACAATTTGCTTGAAGACCAGGTTTCAGTTTAATCGTAACTGTGGTGTTGTCCGCTTTATGAAGAGAGATTGTAAAGGAAGCTAAAAAAGAAAAAATACATAGAACAGAGGTGTTCTGTTACTAGCCATATGAGGAGCACCAGGCTCTCCACACAGCCCCACAGATGCCACAGTGTCCAAAGGAATATTAGCATCCACCTCTCAGGAGCCTCTGGTGCTGTACCAATAGAAAATGCCTCCTCTCTTCAGCACAGACAACATAAAAACATATTTACTGCATGTGCCCAGGAGAAGTGTACAGGGAATTTGTGCACAATCAGTTCTGCTCCAATTTACCCTCGCCAGTATCATTTACTTCACAATTAAAAAGTAGCTCAGCTATTCCTTCCAAATTGTTGTTCTCCTGATTTTTGTTTTCAGTTTGTTATTACACAGCCTGCTTCATTTCTGAAGGCGCCCATCAAGTCACGACTCAATTCAGGAAGTTTATTCAGCAGTCAAACAAAAAAACAAGCTTCAGCTTTAATCACAGACAATGGTAAGAGATGAATTTCTGGGTATACCTCAACAGTTACTGCAGGCCAGATGAGGTATTCCAGCAATACCAAAAGCACAAATCAACAGATACTTTTAGGTGCAGTCATGGCCCTCTCCCACCCTCCCCACCCTTCACAACTCATTGCCTGAAGGTACAGGATGTCTGTGCAGTGCCCCTCACCAGCACAGAAGGCATCTGTGGCCTGGAACAGAGTGTGTATGCTTGGACACTTCCTCTCTGTCTCTGACACAACCATCATTGATTCACAGCTTTTGGGAAATATTTCACCCATCCTCAAGTACTGCCAGATGCAGGAGCAGCACTCACAGGAAATACTAGAGTCACTGAATAAACTCCTTGCTGAATAATCTTTTATTTTACAGGTAGCAGTTTATCAAAAAGATGACTCAAACCTGATTGTCTTCTAAAAATATACACATAATATAAGACACCAGAGAGTACCAACTGGACATTCAAGATGACTATTATTAACTTCAGTTGGATGCTTAGCAAATAATGAGGCCAGCCCCGGCTGAAATAAGGCAAGTTTGCAGTAAAGTCAACCATACCCCAGCCCCAGGTGAAAATCTGAGGGCAGGACAGACAGTAAGTTTCTGCTGCTTGTTTTCATTGTTCTACATTCCTTATTTGACAGACAGTAAGTTTTCTGCTGCTTGTTTTCATTGTTCTCCATTTCTTATTTTGGTGTATGGAAGATAGAATCTCAGTTTCTACAGTACTTGAGCTTTTAGTGTATATGAGAAGAAAATCATGCATATAAAAAAACAGTAAGAGATCTAGAAATAAAGGTACCCCAAGCTCTGTTCAAAAACATCTCTGCCTTGAGTGGTACATCACACAGGGCTGCATGACAAAGCTCTGCCCATATGCCAGGTTGGGAATCCTCGTGCCCATTAACCTCAATGAAAAAAGATTTGTGCTGGCAAACCCAGCAGAGCAGTGCCCTGAGGGAGCCCCGAAGCCATTCCAATTACCAGGCAGCATGTCAGGAAGGTGTAGGAGAACAGCTGGCTCACACACATCTGCAGGATGCCCCAGGCTCTGTCCAACTGCTCAGCATCCCTGGAGCACCAGTCTGCTCCACACCAGCTGCTGCTGGTGCAGGGGTGATAAGGATGCTGATCAGAGCCCAGACATGCAGAGGCTCACCTGGTGGGGTTGTGGGGAGCAGGGCTGAACACACCATGGGAATCCTTGATCAGCAGAGCCCTCTAATGGCACACGAGCACACCAGAGACCCTCAACAGACAGACCCACCCAGCTGAAAGCTCCAGTCATCGCAGCTGCTGAAAGCAGCTTATTGCATTAGTGACTCAATTTCACACAAAACCATCTGTTCTATTGAAGAGAGGCTCAAAAACCACCTAATTTTTACAGGAATCTCATGGCTTTGCAGGACCTGACTTTCACTGGAATGCTTTGCAAAAGCCCCAGGGACCGAGCAGTCAGCATAGTCCGTCCCTGACACTGGAAACATTGTGGCTCCAGGTTTGGTAACATCAGGCATCAAAACCCCCCCTGCTAGGGGAAGCAGGGCAGAATAGAGTACTCAGAGGCAGAGCCCATCATGTGTTTATCTCAGTTTCGTTGGTCTTGAGCCTTTTTGCAGCTTTTCTACACAATCTTGGAGTCAAAAGACTTAGTAAGTCCTTGAAACTGCCTCACCTATTTGCCTCCAGGATCAAAGGTTTCAAATGAAAATCTCAAACACCACGAGGCCTGGAAGACTGCAGCACATATTTTTAACCACAAGTTTACCAACTCTCCAATACCATTAGTAAGTACCTGGTCACTGAGTAACTTTCCTACTGCCTTTAAGTGACAGAACAGTTCTCTGACCTGAGAGCATTCTCCTGCATTCTCCTACCTCTTCCAATGGCTGGCACAGTTTACATCTGTGTTTCTGCCTTAGAAAAGAGGTTTTCAATATGGATTTTGCTGAGGAAATAAAAAAGATGATGGTGTAGCTGGGAACTGCCTGTACAATGACCTTCTAGAGCAGACAGGGGACAATGTCCATGGGGTGGGGAAGAGAGTAAAGCCAAGCAAGCTTTACTCAGTGCTGCTCTTCCTCATTCTTCAGGAGGAAGCAGTGTCCAGAAAAGAAAGTTTAACAACTACTTCCAATCCAGCCCAGAGTTCTATTTTCCATACCACTGGGTTCTTTTGGCATTCTCTTGGGGTTTTATTTTTCAACACTTAGCGTACAAAACACCTTTGACCATGATGTTCATAACTTTTCCACTGTTTAAGTCATCCAGATATGATGTGTTAATAACATAAACCAAATAATTAATAACTATGGACAAAATACATTTCTTTCTTGCACAAGGTAACTGCCATACTCACCTTGTAAGTTTATAAGTATTACTGAAAAGTCTGCTTTCTAATTCTCTGGTCAAACAGTTATCACTGGTCGTTTCCCCATCCCTGGGACAGCACAGCCATATGGCCAACCTGGCAGGACAGGGACCAGGACCACCAACAGCCAGCACTCATACACCACATGCTGGCATATGGCTCTAATTTTTAGTCATAAGGATTAAGTTTAGGCATAGCCTTAAGCACGTGACTAGTTTTAAATCAAAACAAATACACACCCTGAGCCGAAACCAAAGAACAGAAATTTTCAATGCTTTGAAATCATCAAAGGCTCCTACAAGGGTCGAAACAAAGTATCCTCTTCCCCAGCCCCTGAAAGACCCAAATTTGGCTTTCTGGGCTTTTTCCCCCCTCCTTTCTGCTCCTCTTACTGACTTCATGACCATATAATCATTCTTCATTTGATCTCTCTGCAAGAATATCAAATATTTGTCAGGTCAATATTGTTTTCTGGCACAGATTTATCCCATTCCTCAGCTTTCCTAAACAGAACCTACCCAAAATCACAGAAGTGTTTTCAATGATCAATATAAATATATATATATATATATATATATATATATATCATCACAGCAGTAGGCAAGAAAGACGCAGATCTATACCAAATCAGGCCAGCAAAGTTGCCTGCTAGAAGCCCACATAAGAACAGACACCTTCTGTGCATAAACAAACAGCTTGCACAGATGAAAATCCACAGATAATAATTTTGGCCAAGAAATAAGAGCGTGGTGCTCTTATGCCAACAGCAGCCAGCTGCTAGGGATGTGCTAAGCTGCATTAGACTATCAAATCTAATAGGAGAAGTAGAATAAAAGAATCATGCGGGACATATATGCAGTGATCCCAAAGTCATTAAAAACAAACGAACAAATGGCTAAAACTCCCCAAACTACAGCCACACATGAGCAGCACGACAGAGGGACTACTTAAAGAGCACCTTCATTGGAGAGCTTTTATAAACACGAGTGAGTCTCCCCATGAGTCACACCAATCTCTCTTTGTCTGTGACTCCCACTGCATGCCTTTTTATTAGGATTACCAGTAACTGGACACATTTCCTGAAAAGAAGCAATTTCCACGCCTTATTGCTGCTGCACAGGGATGACACACAGGATATCCAAACCAACATGAGGAAGCATTGCCAAGCTGGATCTCGTCTCTGTCTATACAACAATGGAATTGTTCAGCTAGAAGATGTTAGAGGTACAGCCTGCAGTCCTGAGCTGGTTCATAGCTGATGCAGACAGCTGATCTCACCCTATTCTTTTTTCCTCTAAGCAATTACAGTTTTGCAGCCTCCCCTGGATGTTTCATCAATTGCCCTAATCTCAATTGACACCCTGCCTTTCCACAACTGGATTTTTCTACTGCTCATCTTCATTTCAGAATGCCTTCATGAGAGTTTTCTCATCACAGCATCCCTCTATTGCTAGAGTAATGCCCCTCTCTGCACAAACACAGCTTTTTCTTAAGAGGATGATATTTTCAAACTTTTATGTTAGCACTCAGAGCTCTTCCACTGGGGTTAGAACCAAGCTGCATAGTGTAAAACAAATTAAATTTCTCCAGAGAGTTAAGCCTAAATTTATTTACTGACAAGCTCATAGTAATTTTAACATGTATATATAAATGTCAAAAGGAGATTTTTCCTGTACAAGAGGGAGTGCAATGTAGAAGACAGCTGGCAAATAGTCAGGGCAGTAGCACTCATACGGAGTGTGTGTATGTATACACAAGCAAAGGACTTGGCAGAACAGCAATTTTATGGCTATGTAAAGTGCCTTGCTACACAAAGTAGGAGCTAGAACAGAGTCCAACTAGTTTTGGCTTGACAGCTGCATTTTATTGCAGTAATTTACCCATAAGGATCTATGGATTGTTTCACACGACTTGACTGGGTGGATTAAAACAATCAAAAAAGCCCCAGTCAGACCAAGAAAACAAAACCTACAACGAAATCCCAGATGTTAATTTATCCCGGAATTATCCCGGAGAAACTGTGGGTTTGCTTATTCCGGTTAAATCACAGGCTTGTTCCATGACAGCCATTTTTACCGAAACCCAGTTGGATGGGGCTGACTCAGCCACCATTCATGAGCTGGAGGAGCCGCAAGACGAGTAGCAGCAACTTGCTCTGATTATGAAATACCTGTATCCAAACCCCTGTTCTGCCTCAGGGGGATCTGAACCCACACAACCAACACGCCTCTCCAGAGAACAGGCTCTTTCCCTGCAGGAATTGTGCCACCAGCTTGGGACGAGCATAGCACAGGGATGCTGTTTGCCACTACAGCTTGGCAGGTTCTCCTGGAGGCTCACTGCCTCTTCCGAGCCCCTGCAGGGATGCTGACCTGCAGGCACTCTCAGAGCCTGCTGAGGTTATTCCACTACACACAATCTGCTGCAAGAGCCATGGCAAGAGGGTGGGAAGCAAGGGGTATATAACACAGTAACTCAGTGTGGTGGTGCATCACCTCACCACCACACTGAATTCACACCAGTGAATTGCATCACAATTCACTGCACAGTTCACTCAAATTGGCCGAAAGCACATCAAGGAATATTTGAAAGAGTAAACGTCTCCCTGCTTTGCCAACTCAGTTGTTTTGCACCTGTCTTACTAACATCTTTGACAATTTGAGTCCATCTCTCCAGTCCAACTGCAGCACCCAACTGCCTAAGCACCATCCACTCCTCCAGTCTCACCAGCAACGTAATCCAGGTGACTGCCCTCACAGTCTTCAAGCCCTTAGCAAAGTTAGTCAGGGACACACAGACAGTTAGGACTCCTCTCACCTCCTGACCAGTGCTGTGAGCAGCAAAAGAGACATCACCATCACAAACTACAGCCAACCCTTCTTCATTTCCATGTAAACTACTCCCTACATTACATTATTATCTCCTCGTATTTGGACCTGTCTTCCACCACCACACTTGTCTGGGCTATGAGGTCCAAATTTTGTGAAAGGATTACTTTCAGGGAATCACCCAGAATATCACAGTGATAAACTCTGCAAAGCTTGTAAACTCTTAGGAGATAGATGTTGCCAATTGCTATTATGCCATGCTAACCAGGCCTCAGGAGAGGGCTCCTGGGGAAGAATGCCCATTTCTCAGCCATCACAGAACAGCCCCCTAATCTTCACTTCTTCTAAAGTGATTGTTTGAACTGATAGCCAGGATGGGGATGCAAAGCAGGCGAGAGGTAGGTCTTTTCCTCCTCATCAAGGAGGAAGGGCAGACACTTCTGGCATAGTGATGTTACAAGCCATTCCAACATAGCTCACCAGAGATCTGTCAGCACCCCAGGCCAACAAGGTTGCTCACTCAAAAGTTGTTAAATCATTAATTTGTAATGCCTAACAGGAATAAAATAACTTCAGATTTAAAGTAACTGAAAAAAAAACCCCAAAACTATACATTTCTGTACATATACAGCTTTCTCTAGAACCTTTCTGGAAGATAATTAAGACACATATAACTCATGCAATAGATTTTTTAAAAGAAGCTTTTTTTCACCACAAGTGTGAAAGAGACACTGCTGACTCTCAGCTGCCTTTTCCTAATTATTATTTTACAGATATGAAGTGTTGTTGCTTCTGTAGAAGCAACATTGTGAGACGGAGAGCTCAGCAAGCCTCTGTCTATGAGCTGACCACCAGCATACAATGTATAAAATGTTTGACACATAGGTCTGCACAGCTTGAGGAGAAAATGTCACACTGCCTGGAGAAACATTGACACCACACAGGTCCCTGCAGGAGCCTCCCTTGATCAAAGAGGTGTTTGCTTGCATAGTTTTTCATCCCTACCTTGATCTAAGCCAGCAAAAGGACAACATCTCAGAGCATGTCTGAGCAGCTCTTCAGTCTTGGCTCTGGTTGACAAAGGTGTAA